GGCGCCAAATAAAAAAAAAAAACTGAGAACGTCCCTGAATTCTGTTTTAAAAAGTGCTTCCAGAAAGTTTTCACGGAAATCGATTATTTTCATAAACAAAAAAGTTATGAAGATATATATATAATAAATATAATACAAAAACAATACACCAAAGGCAACATTCGCTGAGGCGTTCTTCCATGATGCCCTGTCTCCTTGAACACTTTCATACTACTACACAGATTCCAGTAATTGACTTTTATAAACCTTTTTAAAAATCACTAATGAATTATTAATTAACAAATCATAGATATTTGAGTTAAGTAATTCTACAGACAGAAATGCAAAACAACTTCTAAATTTGGATGTTCGATGTAGCGGTATATTATATCTTACTGTATTTCTAGGATCCCTATTATGCAAGTCATTTCTAGGCACAATTAGAGACCAGAGATAACCAGGGCAATTACTCTTAAAAATCTTATAAAGAAAAACAGCAAAATGCAAAGAGACACGCGACTCAAACCTCAAGTGTTCATACTGCATGTAAATTGGGGTGATATGATCAAATTTACCAGTACAAGAGACAAATCGTAGACAAGAATTTTGTGCTAACTGAATTTTATTTCTCAGTTCTTTTGTCAAGAAGCTGAAGTAAACAACACTGCAGTAATCCAAGTGAGGGTAAATTAATGATTCAATCAGCATCATTTTTGTACTACATGGTAGTAAATACTTAAATGCATATAAGGATTTTAGTTTAAGATAGACTAACGACAGTTTTTTGGATATGTGAACAATGAAGTTTCTAGCGTTCTCGGCGTACGGAATCACCAACCCATTGACATTAAGAATTGTGAAGTTATACAAATCAAACCGAATCCTACCAGCCTTTGAACCACATATTAAATGCACGCACTTTGACGTGTTCAAGAGCAATCCATTACTGATAGACCATTTGTATATTTTGTTCAGATCTTTATTAAGTTCATTCATAGCAGCGCTGGATTCCTCCGGGGGAAACGCGGCCAAAAGCTGCGTGTCATCCGCGTAGAGATGGACCGAGCAAAACCCGACCTGGCTAGGCATTCAATAATGTTATGTAGGAAAGGTGCTTCCAATTTATTATTCATTTAAAAATCCAATTTGTTACAGGTTATTGCTTTTTATTGCCGTTTGTAGAAAAAATATTGTATGATATTTGTGTTAAAAGTATTTTTAAGGCACTTATGTGAATTGCAGAATTCGCTTCGCTCATTCTGCAAACTTTCACATGCGTGCCTTAAAAATGTACTTTTAACACTTATATCATAAATAACTATTATTCGTTACAGAATCCCAACCCTGGTGTTAAGTTATTGATGTTTTGTTTTTTAATATATAAAAAGTTTTACAGTTTTAGAAAAACCATTGTTAAAAACTTGTTTATAAACATTTTTTCCCACTATCGCTCGACTTGTGGACCTTGCCTACGGCTTAGTGCAAGAAACGGTCTCGCCCATGTGAGAAGAGTCGTTTTGAAAACTTATTTCCATAACTATCAGAAGAAGTACATTTTCATCTAGCAACCTGTTAAGAAATCTTGATTTTAAAATTGAAAAATGTGGCAGAGAAAAGAATATTTTCAGTACCTTATACAAATTAGGAATTATAAAAATACAAACCAAAAATGGGGTAAAAAACCCTTGAAAAAACCCTGAGGAAAGTGCACTGCCCCGTGCTGTGTGGTAGCAATAGTGAAAATTTGTTAATAACCATGATTTATTTAGTATTTATCGTGAGATAGATTTTGCCTAATCTTTTTATTGTAGGGTGCCCGAGGGGTCAGCCACTCTGTAAAAATGTGTACACATATTGCGAAAATGTCGGTATTTCGGAAGTATTTCGCGAAATTCAAAGTATTTCGGTGTGGTAATTCGAACTAGTTTTTTGTGGTATTGTCGAGTACTTCGGAGTATTTGCAGGTAATTGTTATTAAGTTCGATTACTTCATAAACAATGCTTCACTTACAAGACAAGATAAGTGTAGAGACCTAGGAGTTGAATTTCAGTCAAACCTCAATTTTTCTAGTCATTATAATACTATTGTTAATAAAGCATACAGAGCTCTTGGGTTTATAATTAGAAATAGTAGGCATTTCGAAAGGATTGATTCTGTAGTAAAACTTTTCAATTGTTTGGTGAGACCTCATTTGGAATACGCTGCGGTTGTTTGGTCACCTCAAACCGAAGTTAACATCAACCTTATAGAGAAGGTACAGAAAAGATTTCTTAGATATCTTTATGTCAGAAGTTATAATGTATACCCATTGTTGGTGTCATATAGGAGTATGTTGGAAGATTTTAAGATTCAATCGCTACACAGTAGAAGATGTATGCAGTCAGTTCTACTCATTTACAACATAGTCAATAATCTTAAGTACAAGTCATCCTTATTGATAAATTATGTAAGTTTTCATGTACCAAAGATAAACCTTAGACTTTATGGAAACAAGATTTTTTCATGTAAAAATGTAAACAACTCTCCAATTAATAATATGCAGTTGGAATGTAATAAATTTATTGAAAGGCATAATATTGACATTTTTGCTTGTCGAATGGGAGAGATCAAATCATTATTTTTGGCATAAGAACCTCGGCGGGCTTCACAAGGCATCTGTCTAACGTTCCTTTTTTGTTATTTTTAGTATTTTATTGTTGTTTTTATTATTGTTATGTTCTGTCTTTTATTTTTTATTTTTTTACTTATTTTTTTTCTTGTCTTTTAGATTTAGGCACTCTTATATGTAATTACAAATTATTGTGTATGTAAGATGTATCAATAAATAAATAAATAAATAAATAAGTAATTAAAAGTATTTCGAGGTAATTCAAAGTATTTCAAGGTATTTCAAAGTATTTCGCGGTAAGCCGAGGTATTTCGAGCTTTTTTCGAGCTATTTAACTATTTTTTTATGTACCAAGAACAATTATTAATACTCTATTACCTAAAATTGAAATATTATAGAATGAAAATTATAGTCCATCTTCGAACAGGCTAAATATGTTGACATAATTTGGATTTACTGCAGATTAATTGAAACAAGTGGAAATATATACTACCTGATACATATACTGGACTGAACAGGGGTTGACAGGGGATTATTTTTGACTTTCCCTGTATTTTTCGAAAAATTCAAAATAGCCAATTGAAACATTTTTTTCTGGGGAACTCAAAAATGGTACCAAAAAATCATTTGAACCAAAAACCAAAGAATTAGGCTAGGGATGAGCTGTTGTTTAAATGGAACAGCCTGTTTTTCGTTTGATTTTTGGAGAAGTCGCACTTTTTTACATCCATTCTGTTGATCATCCATAGCGTAACTCTTTGGTTTTTGGTTCAGACGATTTTTTGGTACCATTTTTATATCTCCAGAAAAAAATATTCCAATTGGCTACATATTTGAATTTTCTCAAAAAAACAGGGAAAGTCAAAAATTGCCCCTGTTCAGTCCTAGTTGGATGACTTAACCTGTACCTAACAGCATTGTAGAACTAAGAGTCACCTACAACTTTCGATTTAATTGCTATTTGTGTGTCCGAATATAATCCATTATATCAACAGGCACAAAAATTCGAGCAAAAATTCTTCACTGCGATCCACAGGAAGAATCGTTATAAAATAAACGAGAATTTTTTTAGAAGTATTGCGGAACGCGCGGTAATCGAGGGTATTTCGGATACTTCGACGGTAATTCCATGGGATTTCGCGTACTTCGACGGGAATATCTGGTATTTCGAGGTACTTCACAATATTTCTAGGTATTTCGAAGTATTTCGAAGGTAATTCTGGCCAAGTGTACACGTATTTTGGGAAGTGGTTGACCCCTCGAGGGTGCCTTAACTGGCCTGGCTAGTTTTGCCACGAATAGATAAACACATTATTTAAAGCCATCCTAATGTTGGTGCAGCAATCATAAACTTTTGGAAACTTCCTAATGATATCTACTTTTTTTTATTCACGTGAAGGGGAAGATACCAAGATTTTAACTGTGGTAATATTGGAAGCAAAGCTGGCTTTCGAATACAGTGAAACAAAGGACTGTCACCAGGAAGGGGGAAGTGGATATTAATTATTTTGCATGTTGCTTTTCAAAAATATACCGAACTTTGGAACTGAGTGATTGTATTTGTTAGACAATACATCCTACATTCAAAGAGGCTAAAAATATCTGACCACACCACAATCTGCCAGAAAAGACAATACACAAAAATGTATTGAATTTTCAATGTTAAAAATCTGATGGGCCACACATAGTCTCTCTACTGTAGTGGAACAAAAATTATAACACTGACGTCAGGTGTACAACTATTAATTTTTCTACAGCCATGCGAAAAATTCATTTTTCTTTTTGCATGGACGGAGCGTGTAAAAAGTACTTTTTGCACCCTGTGCGGAATAGTTGATTTTCTAGGTAAATTAGTAGTGCGTTTTTAATAGCTTTCTAGAGCAGTCATAGAGAAACTATCGAGGAAACTATTGTACCTAACACTTGCGAAAAATTTCACTTTCTGCACTTGTTAGGTAAAGAGCGATTATCGAGGCTATTATAAACTCGTGTATACACAAACATTTGACCTCACATTTGACAATGGGAAAATGTTTGAATTTTGATATTCTTCCGTTAAAAAAATAGAGAATTCAGTAGGCAATATGATGTCATTGGGCAATCCCAAGGGTAATCCTGGCATTTCAATTTGAATTGTAATATCATGTATCTCGATATGTATGTAGCGAGAATCAATTTAAATTTACCAATTGCCAATAAACAATAGAATTTTCGATAGAACTATTAATTATTGTTTTTTTTAGTTATTACTCATTACCTCTGTTATTAGAATACCTATTCATGGGGCAAAGGAAAAATGAAGATTAATGAAGGCTATGCAACTAAAACAACAGAAGACAACCTTTAAAATTGATGTCTACTGACCTCTGCATTTGAAGGATAAAATACAAAAAAAAAGTGAAAAATTCTTACCATAAATCTCTGTTGAAATGTAATCGATTGGGACAACAGCTCCCAACGATTTTTTGTAACAATCTTACGCCCCATGGTAAATCGCCGAATATAAAGCTCATCTTAAGTCTTCTTCTGATGAGCCGATACTTTGCCAACAGAGAATACAGCATAAAATTCCTTATTTTGCAAGCTTGCACTATTCTAACCTTGATGATGTCCACGAAACCCTTGGAAAAAAAGCAGCTTTACTTCAACATGATTCAACTTTTGGTGAATAAATACGGGTGAAAATTGAAATTTAACGGTAACTAATTCTTTCTAATTCATTTTCGGAAGATGTCTTTGTTTGTTTTATATTGATAAATAATTGATGAGATACTATTATTTCTTTTGTAATGTAATTTAAATGAATGTTGTTGTGTTATGGTTGTGTTGACGTTGTCAATCCACCCACCAACCGTCGACCGACCGGTCCAACGTCCAACTCACTCAACCAAAGACAGAAGTCAATAGTTCTTTTCACGTGGCTCCGGTTTAACTAACCAGGTTACAAAACGGTTAGAGAAATGACATACCGTTTTCTAGCCCGGTTACAAAAACCCTTTTCACGTGGCTCCGATTTAACAAACCGCAACATACCGCTCAAATTCGAGTGGTAGGTAATACCGCTCAAATTCGAGTGGTAGGTATCCATCACGTCACTTTGTAACCGGGTTAGAAAACGGTATGTCATTTCTCTAACCGTTTTGTAACCCGGTTAGTTAAACCGGAGCCACGTGAAAAGAACTAAAGTGGCGTGATGGATACCCTGATGGATACCTACCACTCTACCACTCGAATTTGAGCGGTATGTTGCGGTTTGTTAAACCGGAGCCACGTGAAAAGGGTTCCTGTCAACGGCCGTCAACCATAAACCCTTTTCACGTGGCTCCGGTTCAGTGTTACCAGATTGGGGGATTTTCCCCCAAATTTGGGGGATTTTCAAGTAGATGGGGGAAAATCTGGGGGATAGTTTTTTCTGGGGGATTTTTTGGGGGTAAGAATTTTCGCTATTGGGGGAAATCGGGTATATTTCAATGAATAAAACTAAAGTGAAAGATGTATTAAAACAACTGCGCCATCTATTTTTTCAATCCAGTACCAATAAAAAGATACAGTTTGCTTCTTCTCCAGTGTTGCCAATGGACGGATTTTAATCCGATTTGCGGATTTTTTTTGGACGATCGGATTTTTTTCGGATTTTGTAATTCAGAGGATTTTTTGCGGATTTTTTTAGATAAAACGAATAAGGGCATGAAATCCCTCCAAAGCACAAAAAGCCAACATGGCTGCTATGGCAGTATGCAACAAAAGCGTTTGGTGTGGTTTTGAGATTATTTTTTAAACTTTCCAAACTTCTTGGTACAACTAACTGTACTTATCTGTTCTGTCACCAGTCACAACATTTCATTTCATTTGTCATTTGTCAATTGTCATTTTATTTTTGGGATTAGAAAAATATAAACAAATAAAAAAGTGGTAAGGGTATGAGTTTTATTTTGAAATATTCAACGAATTTGTCTTTTTTTTTTGCAAGTATGAGTCGAGAATAAATCTATATTTATTTGGGGGATTTTAGTTGACAAACAGTGATTTTTGGGGTATTTTTGAAATCCTTTGGGGGAAATTAGTTATAACCATCTGGCAACCCTGCTCCGGTTTAACAAACCGCAACATACCCCTCAAATTCGAGTGGTAGCAGCGTTTCCGGACCCTTGAAAATTAAAGTACTGATCAAGAGACAAAAAATGTACTGAAAAAAGGAAAAATGTACTAACTTCAGAAACTAAACTGGAGTTCATAAAACTGATAAAGTAGATGGTTTTAGGATACTTATTTTGTTTTCCCTACTCCTGTGCTGCTTTAAATTTAAAACATCAAATAAAAGATCATTCATTTAAATTATTTTTAATATTTCACGGTTTGGTTAGTGGGTTAATTAAACACTCGATGGGCTTCACGAAAAACATTGTTTTTTATCTACTAGGTACCTCTTTACCTAACTAAATTCACTAAAGATCTGACTTTACAGATTGGGGCAGGTTACTTATTCCACGAAATTTAATGCTAATATCTTCTAGCTTCTCAAGAATGTACGTTAAGCAATTTAAGTTAGTTCAGTAATATTGCCACAATGTCATCACCCTTCTTGGATTTTTTTTTGATCCAAGCAACATCTTATCTAAGCAAAACCCTCCTCTCGGGTGGATATTGTAATCCAAAGCTTAAACTACTTTTTTCCTGCGGTGCATGACAAATTTCCGAACTAAGCGAGATTAAACTCCTAGTCGAGATTAATTCCATACGGGCTTAAAATGGGCGCAAGCTAAAGGCATGTTTGGGATGCGTTCAATATTCTGCTGGGATGCACTCGAAGTGATCCGTGCGCCCCGTCCGTCCATTCGAAAATGCAGGTATTCGTTAATTTTTCCCGCAGTTTAAAAATATCCCCGGTATTGTAGAGCAGCGGCAAAATGTACTGAATTTTATAGTGTGGTACTGACGTACTGAAGAGAGTCAAATTGTACTGATTCCAGTACATCTGTACTGATGCTGGCAACACTGAGTGGTAGGAAGGTGGTAGGTATTCATCCAATGAAGTAGGGGCCGGATTTTACACTCGTGCAACTCGTGCGCCGCACGAGGGCGGCATATTCTATCTTGGTATATTAGTATATTAAATAGGGTCATTGATGATGAACTTTCAACTAATATGAATAGTACAAATTTTTTAGACGTTCCCCCACTCGAGAGCGGATCAATAGGGACATAATTCGTAAGACTAGGGTAACAGCATTCGTACTTAACATTCACTCAATTCGCAACAAAATTGATGAACTATGTGTCTTACTTGATAATAATCAAAACCCTGATTTTCTATTACTTACTGAACATTGGTTAAACTCTTCGGAACCATGTAATATACCAGGGTATTTAAACGTTTCGTGTTTTTGCCGAACTTCGGGTGCTGGATACGGCGGCACTGTAATTTTAATTAATGAAGAATTTTCACAAACCTTTCAAATTGAACCTGTAGATAAGTATAACCATCTGTGTAAAGAAAAGGTGTTTGAATTTTCAATTGCTGTTAACAAGAAAGCTAATATCTATACAGGGTGGCCAATTGAAAACGAAACAGAGATGATTTTGGGTTCCTCAAGAGATTTAAGAAAAAACCCTCGGACCCGTCGATTTTTGATTTGAGGGGGAACCATTTTTTTGGCATTTTCACCACCTGGGGGGCAAAGCCCTAGCTGGGGTGACAAGGGCCCCCGAAATTTTAAATGGAATGAGTGGTCGAGTGATACCTTATTTTGAGGCTATTTTTATGTAGATTATAACCCCTGAGTTTCACATCGTTACTATTTACCTAGCCATTACAGGGGCTAATTAAAGCTACAAAAACATGTTGGGATATTTTGTATTTCAAAAAAAATGCTTTAAAACCAAAATCAATCAAGTAAATGCTGAAAATGACCCCAGAAAAAAAAAATCTAACGGGCTTAAATCTGGAGAACGTGGGGGCCACTCAATAGCTCGTCTTCTTCGAATCGATTGTCCTGGAAACGTTTGGTCCAAATATTGACAAATCATTGCAGCATAGTGGGGTGGCGCACCATCTTGTTGAAATATTAGACGGTTTTCCATGTATCCGTTATCATTCTCTAGTATCTCCACCAATTCTGGATGAATCGCATCTTCTAACCACTCTGGGTACATTTCTCCTGTTAAATTTATAGGTAAAAGAGGGACCACGGTTACCCAAAATACTAGCTCAAACGCTCAAGTAATCTACATTTCCATAACGCCCTAGGACGTTATTTCGTATTCATATTTGCAGAAATCGCCAAAACCCGTCAACAGTATTGAAGGGGAAGGGTTTTTACGTAAAACTGGACTTCGCCCCTTCAACCCTCTAAGCCCTAGGGCTACCTTCCCAAAATTTTTGAATGAAACAGGGGGTCGAGTTAGTGTTTCATTCAAAAATTTTGGGGAGGTAGCCCTAGGGCTTAGAGGGTTGGAGGGGCGAAGTCCAGTTTTACGTGAAAAACCTTCCCCCTCAATAAATTTGTTGACGTGTTTTGGCGATTTCCGCAAATATGCCTCTTTACGCAGATAACGTGGGTGGCAAGTTTTGAAATGAAAGCCCTGTACTTCCAGGTATAATACGTGCGAAAGAACTTTCTAGGGCGTTATGGAGATGTAGATTATTTGAGTGTATGGGCTAGCATTTTTAGTAACCGTATAATAGGCCCCTCTTTTACCTATAAATTTAACAGGAGAAATGTACCTCGAGTGGTCAGAAGATGCGATTCATGTAAAATTGGAAGAGATACTAGAGAATGATAACGGATACATGGAAAACCGTCTAATACTCCAACAAGATGGTGCTCCACCCCACTATGCTGCAGTGGTTCGTCAATATTTGGACCAAATGTTTTCAGGACAATCGATTCGAAGGAGAGGAGCTATTGAGTGGCCCCCAGGTTCTCCAGATTTAAGCCCGTTAGATTTTTTTTTCTGGGGTCATTTCCAGCATTTACTTGATTGATTTTGGTTTTAAAGCATTTGTTCAAATACAAAATATCCCAACATGTTTTTGTAGCTTTAATTAGCCCTTGTAATGGCTAGGTAAATAGTAGCGATGTGAAACTTAGGGGTTATAATGTACATAAAAATAGCTTCAAAATAAGGTATCACTCGACCCCTCATTCCATTTAAAATTTTGGGGGCCCTTGTCACCCTAGCTAGGGCTTTGCCCCCCAGGTGGTGAAAATGCCAAAAAAATGGTTCCCCCTTAAATAAAAAATCGACGGGTTCGAGGGTTTTTTCTTAAATCTCTTGAGGAACCCAAAATCACCTCTGTTTCGTTTTCAAATGGCCACCCTGTATATTATGTATCTACCGTCCTCCGGAATCAAATATTAGGGACTTCTTGATTAATTTAGAGACAATACTGGTTGATTTGCCTTCGCATTCTAAAGTTATCTTATCTGGAGATTTTAACATTGATTTTAGCAGTTCTTCAGCAGCCAATCAATCTCTGCAAAATCTGCTTATTTCCTTTGATTTAACTATGCATGTACTCACACCAACTAGGATAAGTAATGGGTCTGCTACAATAATAGATTACTTTTGCACAAATTTTAATCAAGATACCACAGAGTGTGAAGTGGTCTCTACAGTTCTCTCTGATCATGAGGCATTGTTATCGCGGTTTCTTCTTGATTACACAACCTTAGTGTTGCCTACTCAATATAAGCGGATTTTCTCTGGTAATAACTATCAAAATTTCAGACAAGAATTAGGTCTTACTAATTGGGAACTCGTACTAGACAGCGACAAACCTATTGAGTCTCTTCATTCTGTGATTTATAAAGTGTTTATTGACTGTTTTCCGCTGCGTAAAAT